TTGAGAAGGAAGATAAAAAGTGGGAGATGAGAGACAAACCTTCAGGTGGGAAACTTTGTCCATCGCGGGCTCTGACGGTAACCTTGAACAGTGTCAGAGTTATATTTACCAGGAACAGGTATTTGCAGATACTCTCCCTGTACATCGGTGCTCATTTCTGCTTCACGCTTGTAATTTTAAGTGGGGGAGGAGTCAGTAATTTCTTGTCCGTCTACTCAAATTATTCAGCTGCTTCTCTGACCAGGATGTATGTAATTCATTACTGTTACTGTCTTATGTCTAGTTGGTATTAATTTTTAAGTTATCTACTTTAGGTTATCTGTTGTGTTTAAATACTTGTGCCTTATGGTTTTGTAATCTTATGAGCTGTTTTATTTTGTGTCGTGTCTCATTGTTTTGTCGTGTCTCATTGTTTTGTCGTGTCTCATTGTTTTGTCGTGTCTCATTGTTTTGTCGTGTCTTTGTTTTGTTGTTGTGTCTTATTGTTCTTGTTGTGCCTTATGTTTTTTGTGTCTCATTGTTTTGTTGTGTCATTGTTTTTGTTCTGATTGTTTTTGTTGTGTCTCATTGTTTTGTCGTGTCTCATTGTTTTTGTTGTGTCTCATTGTTTTGTTGTGTCTTTTTGTTTCGTTGTGTCTCATTGTTTTGTTGTGTCTTTTTGTTTCGTTGTGTCTCATTGTTTTGTTGTGTCTAATTGTTTTTGTTGTGTCTCATTGTTTTGTCGTGTCTTTTTGTTTCGTTGTGTCTCATTGTTTTGTTGTGTCTTATTGTAGCGCCGGGTATAAACCCATTTGCAGTTAATAATAAATAAATAAATAAAAATAAATTACGGCTAGCCGAGGTTTGAGACCCTTGTACTGTGTGTGTGTGTAAGACCTGGTAATTCTTACGTTTGCAGCGTCCCTTGTAGGCGACCGGGATGGCTTTGCCCCTGTGACACGCGGACTCCTGTAGGTGGCAGGCGCTCTGGTACGTGACTCCGTCCGTGCCGCAGACGGTCCTGCTGGTGGCCGTGCGATCGGGACAGCGCTGGGAGCACCTCACGCAGTGGGGGCTGAGGTTCTGGTCGAGGAGACAATGTTTTCCGGCCGGACATCGAATCCTGTCGCAGGAGCCTGCGTGAGTGAGGGCGGGCAAACGCGGTTACACGGGCACACTGCCTCACTCCGAGCTAACAACGTAAATGGTCTCCACATGAAGGACGTACGACGCACAACACAACATGGGACCTCGACCTTCGCATGGCCTACTGTCCGCGAGACACGTGGATTGTAGACACTGGTTCTTGTCCCGACCAGGCCTCTTTCGCTGCTCTGCTCCTCTCAGCATTGAAAGTGACACGGTTTGCAAAACAGTTACACAGGAAGACATGCTTACTGTCGAAACGGGATTTTTTACCCACCCCTGTTAATACAAGGGAAATAAAAAAACATGCTCATTGTTGTTTGAATTTTACAAGTTACAATGCACAGTTCGCTCTGTAAGTAAGAATATTAAATATTATTACATTCATACATTTTAATTCCCACTGGAGACACAAAACACAAATGTCTAGGTGAGCTTTAACTATGGGACTGAGTTCATGCAACGAATTCAACTGCAGCTAGTCTTATCGCTGTCAATGCATTGAAAATCTTCCACCAAATGGAACGCTGTCTCATACGTCCTCCACCGACCACAGGTACCAACATCACACTCATAGCAGGCTTTAGGTTAGGTTAGGTTAGGTTAGGTTAGGTTAGGTTA